GGTCAGACGCTTCTCCTCCTTGGCCAGACGGTCCGCCTCGGCCAGACGCTTCTCCTCCTCGGCCAGACGTTGTGCCTCGGCCAGACGCTCCTCCTCCTCAGCCAGACGTTGTGCCTCGGCCAGACGCTCCTCCTCGGCCAGACGCCGTGTCTCAGCCAGATGCTCCTCCTCGGCCAGACGCCTCTTCTCCTCGGCCAGACACTGTGCCTCAGCCAGACGCCTCTCCTCCTCGGCCAGACGCTGTGCCTCGGCCAGACGCTCTGCCTCGGCCAGACGCCCTGCCTCGGCCAGACGCCCCTCCTCGGCCAGACGCTGTTCTTCAGCCAGATGCTCTGCCTCAGCCACACACCTCTCCTCCTTGGCCAGATGTTGTGCCTCGACCAGGCGCCTCTCCTCCTTGGCCAGACGCTCCGCCTCGGCCAGACGCTCCGCCTCAGCCAGACGCTGTGCCTCGGCCAGATGCTCTGCCTCGGCCAGACGCTCCTCTTCTGCCAGATGCCTCTCCTCTTTGGCCAGACGCTCCGCCTCGGCCAGACACTCCTCTTTTGCCAGACGCCCCTCCTCTGCCAGATGCTGCGCCTCGGCCAGACGCTCCTCTTCTGCCAGACGTCCCTCCTCAGCTGGACGCCCCGTTTCAGCTGAATGCTTATGGTCTGGTAGACACTGCCCGTTCTCCTCGTCCTCAGTACCACTGTGGGGTTGAGCTCGCTCCGTCAGTGCCCACAGCCTGGGACTCAGGTCAGTGGTGGGAGGGGGTGAGGTGTGGAAGGTGCCCGGAGGTGAGGAGGGTGGGACAGGGGGTATTAAACAGGCACTGTCATCCTCTGCATCGTGATCAGACTTTGCAGTGGGGAAGGGCAGGTGGACCGGGGTCTTGTGTCCCTGCTGTTTGCGCCCTGACCCTCTCTCACTGACCTCGGACCCCAGTGACCTCCTTGCCCCAGCCTCCGCCTCCTCCTCCTCCTCCTCCCCCTCCGTGGACCCTGCTTGGGTTCGCGAGGCAAAGGGCGAGTCTTTCGAGGTACAGCTTCCTTCGGTTCCAATCTTCCCTGGGTCCTAGTGGGAGGCAGCGAGTCAGGTCAACAACCCTCACATCACCCCTCCTCACAGTGTGCCCACCAAACCTACCGCCCTCCCTCCCTCCCCCTTCACCCTCCCTCTTCACCCTCCCTCCCTCCCTCGCTCTTCACTCACATCACTCCTCCTCACAGTGTGCCCGCCAAACCTAACGCCCTCCCTCCCCCTTCATCTTT